GGTTGCCCTGCACGCTTAATAAACAAACTACAGCAAGTCCAAAACGCAGCAGCTCGAGTTCTTACCAGAACCAGGAAGTATGACCATATTAGCCCGGTTCTGTCAACACTGCATTGGTTGCCTATTAAACATCATATACATTTTTAAATATTGCTGATTACTTACAAAGCACTAAATGGTTTAGCTCCCCAGTACTCGAGCGAGCTCTTAACGCATTATAGTCCGTCACGACTCACGTCTATTGCGATCTCAAAGTTCCTGCCAGTTGATAATACCTAGAATATCAAAATCGACTGCTGGCGGTAGATCCTTTTCCTATTTAGCACCAAAACTTTGGAACAGTCTTCCTACCATTGTCCGGGAAGCAGACACACTCTGTCAGTTCAAAGCTAGACTAAAAACACATCTCTTTGACCTAGCATTCACATAATACATTATCGACTTCTATAATTCAATGTTAGGCTGTATAGATTAGGTCAGCTGGAACCGGGAACACTTCCCTTAAATCCTGATGTACTTGTTACATCACAAGAAGAATGGCATCTACGCTAATCTTAGTGTCTTTGTTTATCCCAAGGTTTTCCCGCAGCCTGCCGGACCCAGGCCGTTTCCAGATCTGATGAAGGGCCTTCGCCTGGACCCGATGACAACGCAGTGCTGAAGTGCCAACTAGCCTCTCCCTATGGAGGATCCCTATTCCACTCTACAGATAAAGTGTTGTGAAATTTCGGTTTGCGTACCAACCCCGAAGTGATAAAATAAAGTAAAATAAAATTCTGTATCAAAATGTAGCATTTATCAGCATTTATCACAGGTTCGCGTTTAAAGTCTGTTAAGAGAGAACGGTGTCATCTTAGTGGCCTCTAATTTAATAACAAATGATCATTTCGACGGAAGTGAATCAATCCAAACTAACTTTAGCTGGAAAATAACATTATTCAAGAACTGCTATAAAACCAAACCAATCTCGATAACCTTAAATTATGTTTATCTCTGTAAAGCTGCTTTGAAACAATCTACATTGTTAAAAGCGCTATACAGCTAGAGCTTGATGTTTTTGTCTAGTAGAGTGAGTCCAGGTGCTGTAGACCGTTCCAACTGCTCCGCTAATTCATTAATGTAAATGTTGAACAGCGTTGGACTCAGGCTATAGCCCTGCTGCACTCCTCTCTTCTGGGTGAAGAATTCTGTATGTTTATTGCCAATTTGTATTGCACATTTGTTGTTCGAATTAGAGTGGGTGATATGGCAAAAATATCATATCATGATTTTACTGTCTCTACTACTACTATGATTCCACTGTCACTTCAAGTCTGGCACGCATCTAATAGACACACATCCGTTTTCTCTCAAATGTTTGCTTTCACTTTAGACACACCTGCACGAACACCAACACAACGGCATGGACACCGACACAAAAAATTTGATTTTGAATTGGTTACATGAGACTCACCAACAGCGGTTACACAAACAAGACAAGATACAATGGAAACATGAGGGCCATTTATACACACAAGACTAATGACTAACAAGAAACACCTGTGAACAATCAAGACGATCAACCAATAAGAATATGACTATACATTGATTTTATACCCTTACACAAAGAAAATCTATTTCCTAATGAATAATCATATATTAAATGATTTAACGGTATATTAGAAAATATACATATTGTCTAAATATATTACAATATATTGAATAATACATATAGAAACAGCACTTGAAGTGGGAAATCTACTCACCTTCAGATGAAAGTTTATACATTTTACATATTTACAATAAATGGAGGGGACATGTTTAACTACGGGTGGTGATGCTGTTTTTAAATGCTGCCAGTGAGCTATAAAGAATGTATGAACGAAGTCACCAGATCTAAATATTCACAACAAACACCCTTTCAACATGAAACTAAGAAATTAGACCTACACTTTCACTGCGTCTCCCCGCATCCTGTCAAATGTTTGTATCCCCCAGGATACGTCGTCCCTTTTAATATGAGCAAAACATGTGTAATAACAATTCTTTTGAACATTTACTCTCCTTTAACAGTCAGAAGCAAAGCATTCTGGGAACTAGTCTGTTGTAACCACTGATTGTATTCCGTGAATGTGTGTATATATGTGTGTAAAGTACATTCACATTTATATGGGAACATGTATGTGCAATATATGTACACGATAAATATTACATGTAATGCCTATCTATAGATAGATACACATTTAGGTAGATTGGGGGCGCATTCCCTTCAAAAATAAACGTAACTTAATCCACTGCGTCTTCAGCAGATCAGATGTCGGGAGTAAATGAAGACTGCTATGTTCTCTCTCTCTCTCTCTCTCTCTCTCTCTCTCTCTCTCTCTCTCTCTCTCTCTCTCTCTCTCTCTCTCTCTCTCTCTCTCTCTCTCTCTCTCTCTCTCTCTCTCTCTCTCTCTCTCTCTCTCTCTCTCTGTCTATTTATCTAACAACATGTAACAGGCTGGAGTGCACAATGAAGCCCTACCACAGAACTGTCCTTTCTCTCTTGGTAGACGTGCAGTTTTCAACAGAATCGTCTGGGTTCAGGCTGCTGTGAGCAGTGCCAGCTGCCCAGTGGAAACTTTTGCTGTCAGAGTTTGCTGTCAAACATCTCATCACAAGTACCAAAAGACAAAAGCCAGTCTTAGATCCTGTTACTGTAATAAATGTCCTCCTAGTGCCACCACACCATAGGAAGACATTAAGTTACTAATCTACTCTCCTCCTGACATTGTTGCTGAAATACTTGTGTGTGTAGTGGGCAGTACATACTTTTTATTTTAATTATAGAGTTTTGTTTTATTTAGTGACTAAAAATGCCAATGCAATTTCTGTGTTTTCTGTTTGAACAGTAATCAATGCTGTTGCATTGTACTGCCACTTAGTGGTACTGCTGAGCAGGGTAACATTCAATACTCACTGTCTGCCATCTAAAATAATATTACTGTATTACTCAATTACTGTAAATTCTCTTTCTCTTTCTGACACGAACAAAGGTAAATAAGGTAAATGCTAAAAAAACGACCACGAAGCTTGCCTTAGTCTATATTTTTTTACAATTAATTTAAATAAAATAGATTCCAAAGACAAGAAAGCCCATAACGCACCTTGGATGTTATCACAAACACACACTTACGCACACTTATCCCCCCAGGTCCTGTTTCAGCAGTGTCTCTATTCCAGTAGCACAGCAAGCAATCAGTCCCTAAGCAGAGCAAACTACGCTGGAGAAAGAACAATTATCCCTGTTGTCTCATCTTTATAACATAAAGACGCATACTAGATTACTGCACCCTGCCTTTTCCAGTGCAAAATATGTGCTTTGTCCCTTTGTTAATTTTATAGTTTATTATGTAATTCAAAGACATAAAAAATGCAGAGAAAGGACTAGGATGCATGCACACATTCATGCAAAATATGTTTGATTGTCACTTTATTCTTTAAAAAATCATTTAAATTGATTGTATTAATAATACATTCATAGACTTGGATTAATATATTTATATAAAAGTCATCTTGCCTGCATCGTCAGTTTATACCTTCATGTTTTCAGATTAATAACCCTATTAGATACATGTAAAGTGTTGGTAGGCCTACAAAAGTAATGACTTTTTCAGGGACCGTCAGACAATTTTGTTGTTGTTGCCTAAAATAGTGTGTAATTCAAGTTGCACAGATGAAATAAAGCTAAAATATATATTCTAAAGTCCTACCAATGAATGACACTATAAATCAGAGTAATGAATGTTCAGTCGCCATGATGATTACTCTCATTTTAAATGGCTTGAGTGTGCCTTTTCTTCCATTGTGGTTCTTTAGGAAAATGCACTAGTCATGGATATGGGGTGGAACTTGTTATATGGTTTGCATACTCATGACTTTTTAAATTTAAATAGTATGTAAAAGAATAAGGCTAGATATGATAATATTTCAAAAGCTTATGTATGAGCTCATCTTTTGATTTTCTGTATGGTTTTATGCCACCTGTAAGAAAATCTCCTAAATCTGAATATATTTGAATATGGTTAGACCCGTGACCTGACCAACCAGATGTGGCCTCATTCATCTCACCAAATGGAGCCATTTCCTCCATAAATTATTCATATTCACCAACCTATGCCCTATGCACACTAATGTGAAAATGACATACTTTATGTTCTGAAAAAATATTCTACAATACACATTTGACACACTATTGTGGGGATATTAGTTAAAGGGATATTTTATTGTTAAATCCCCCATTTGTTTGTCATCAGTGTACTACTAGCATTTTATTGCATTAGTAATTATGATATTGGCTGTAATTCAGTTGAAACAGTTTTTTGGCATGACAGAACAAGACAATATATAGGCTATATATATAGTGGATGAGCTGTTTACTTACTTTTTAATTAGTCTTCCCATTACGTAAACGCCATCATTGTCTTCATTCTGGCCGATTCGAAAATACGCACGAAAACAAGAGGCGGGATTTATCGCACGACCTAATCATATCCATATCCAATCAAAACCGATCATATCCAATCATAGCGCGATGGAGGCATTGCCTCCTCTCACGTGACTTTCCCCCATTCATTAAACCCAAATAATTATAAATTAAGAAATTTAATATATACTAATTAAGATATAAATAATAACATAATAATGTAAATAAAAATTACAAATAAACACAAAATATTATTAATAAGTATTTTTAAAGAATATTAGGCTTTTCAGAAAATGTGTTAAATACATTTTAAAATTATATATAAATAAAATAAAATATTACGAATAAGGGTTTTTAAATAGTATCAAGATTTTCAGAAATTTTATCAAATAAAATATAAATAAAATAATTAAAAGCGTTTTTATCTTTTCTTTGAATTTTTCTGACATCAGAAGTACTTGGGATCAATTTGCGCGCACCCTTGCGTGCGCGCATGTGTTGCGGGAGCGTGCTCTCCGGCGCGCGCCCGTGGAGGGGGGATTTATTTATGAAAAGAAACAGGAAACTCCGTCGATCTTTTCGACACTTTAACAGCAGTGGGAGAAGCCGAGCGTGAGGCTAGGCATAACTGATTGAATTTTCTCTTTATTTTTAATCAACCATGGCCGTCAAGGCATTCGATTGATAACTGACACCCTCCGTTTTTATTTTTTTAAACTTTAGAAACTCCAGCTCCTGGAAAACTCCCGTTTTAAAAGGCTGTGCGCGTGTGTGAAAAGAGTTGGGCGTGAGACGTCGGGGTGTCTCCCTCTTTTGAACCACTTGTGCATGATATTTCTTTATTTCCTCCATTTTTTCGCTGCTTCGACTTCTTATATCGTTTGAAAGCGTTTTAAACTCCAAAAAGATGGGGTGCACCCTGAGCTCGGGCGACAAGAGCGCCCAGGAGAGGAGTAAAATGATTGACAAAAACCTGCGGGATGATGGAGAGAAAGCGTCGCGAGAGGTCAAGCTGCTGCTGCTGGGTGAGTTAGCCGCTCCGCTAGTGGAAAAGCCCTGTAATTGTCACTTAACAGCAAATATAAGCTACTTTAGCATTGGAATTAACATTTACTTAAGATATGAGTCGAGAATAAAGCAGTCAAGTGCATATTTATGGACGCTTGAAACTTTTCTCCCCATAGTTGCCGCGTTGGTGTCTCGGCTAGCATGTAAAGCTAATCCACTCAGAATATCGAATCATTAAACATGAATCATTTTAATAGTGTGATTTTCATGTCTATACATTAGAGATTAGATAATTGCGTTTTTATGTTGCTGTTTTTCTTTTGTTTTGGCTTTAACTTCTTCAAAGTGCTGGTTTGCATATTCGCAAAAATGGCCAGTTAGACGCAAACGGCTCTCGGCTAATCCAGCCAACAAAAGACTAGTTTAATCTAATTTAATCCCCACCGCCTGATTTACTGAGATGGATCTGATAGATTATCCTGCCCCTCATCCAATTATGATAAATGAGCTTGTGCATATGGAGGGTCCTGCTGGGTGCTTGGAGTAAACTGGAGTGGATGATGCTAGATGGGCTTTAAAAGTGGTCCTGGTGGTCTCACAGACATCAGCACACGAGTCTGGAAACTCTTAAACCTGAATGAATGGTATATATTTGACTTATTATTTAAATAGGTTTTCAAACAACAAGCTCTTTAACACTAGAGTAGATTTAAAGAAATACTAAAATGGCAGAAATTGTTATTTTGAGTTGATTTTTATTTATTTTGCATTTAGACCATGCTTATCCCCCTTAGAATGTATTATTATTATTTTATACTAATTCTCTAACAACCCCTTATAGTCTTAGAATTTGCTTTGGGCTAGATTATAACAAAATATTCATATGTAAATTCCTTCAATTTCACGCAAGTTGCTGCATATAAAATCATGTATGTATAGTTCACAGTTTTCTTAGCAGTAGACTTGTAAATTCATTCTGATTTACATAGAGGCCACTTGTTTTTCACTTTCTGATTCCTGTTTTGCATATGTTTCTTCTGTACTTTTCCAGCATTTGTGTGCAAGGATTTTTCGGGGCATTGAGTAATGAAGCCGAACAAAATTATTAGCTTGTGGTGATTTTAAACATTTGCGTCTTTCTTGATTATTGATGGTGTGTGTGCAGCTTAAACATAATATTTATTTCATAGAAAATGCCCCACACTCTGTGAAGAGCAGCACTTGGTACTGTTTACATGCAGTTTAATTCATTTTGAAAAGCTGGAAAGTTGTCAGTTCCCCTGGTTTTTCCTCTTACAAGTGATAATGGTCAACATTTCACTTAGATTTGCCGGTTTAATTATCCGTTTATTGTACAAACCACTTTCCCATCGGTCACTTCTTGCTGTGTAAATTGTTAGAGGATATAAAACCTGCCCTTATACCATCAAACATTAGGGAATTGGCTTTTAATTATGCAGTTAACTGGATTCTCCCTAAGTGCTGAATCATCATACGCCTTCTGTTTGCTGCGTTCTTGGGTTTGTTTGCTTTTTGGGGTTGCGGATCTACAGCATATGTCCCTTACGCCTGCTGTAAAACAGGCTGGACTTCCTGTTTAGACTATAGAAGGGGACAAATGGTGACTGCCAGGATTGTTACTAAGAATAAATTCACTGGTGAGAACAGAGAACTCTTTCACGGGTGGTTGTTTGAAGAATTTTTCGCAAAAGTCAGTGAGTGCCACAAGTGCATATCAAAAAGTAATAATTCTGTTAAAATGATGAGCACCTCTTCACGGTTTAGAGCATGTTGATCGTGCGTCTCGGGCAGTGTTGTTGGTTGCCCTGGAACCGAGGAGCCAGATCAAATTACAGCACCATAAACGCAGCCGCAGGAGACCAAACAAAAGGTGAAACCAGTGCTTTGGGAGTCAAGTTCACTATGTGGCACCAGAAACTTGGAATGATGCATCTTAGAATAAAGCAGTTATCAGTATTATCAGTTTTAGTTCACCCGAAAATAAACAATTCTGTCATCATTTATTCACTGGAAGTCGGAACACAAATGAAGATCTTTTTGATGAAATCTGAGAGATTTCTGTCCTTCCATTGATAGCTACCCAACTACCACTTTGATGCTTCATAAATGCCATAGAGAAATTGTAAAACTAATCCATTTGAATGCAGCGGTTTAGTCAGAATTTTCCGAAGAGACACATAAGAAACATAAACATTCATCAGCACACACATCAGTTGTGCTAAACGGAAGCTCAAACATGTTTGCTTGACATGCGAGAACCAATGAGGTTCATTCGTGTGTTATGCAGCACGGTTTCCGCAAGATGAACCAATGAGGTTTGTTCTTATGCATCAAGCGAGTACGGTTGAGCTCGTTTATGTTCGCTGATCAATGTTTATATGTGAATAAAAGCCTAAATCCGCTCAATCATATGGATTAGTTTTACAATCTTTTTATGAACTTTTTGAAGCGTCAAAATGGTAATTAAGTGGACTGTCAATGGAGGGACAGAATAGAAATCTCTCAGATTTAATTTAAAATATCTTTATTTGTGTTTCGAAAATGATTTACGAAACGTCTTACGGGTTTGTGAAAAAAGATTTTAACGGACCCTCTCACTCAAAATGTTGAACCTACATTGACTTGAATTGAAGTAAAGACCAGAATATCTTACAGACTTGGGCTACTATTGGCTTAAGAAACCGCCCCAGAACACCCTAACAACCAAGTAGCAATGTCCTGACAATGTGGCAACGAGTAGAGCTGCACGATATTGGAAAAAAAGATGACATTGCGATATTTTGTTTTTCTGCGATTATACAATATATTGCGATATAAAAACAATTTCATCAGATGACTTTAATAGCTCTATTTGGAAATATTTAATCATTCTAGCTAGATGTGGGTGATATTGTAGGGGAGTGAATCTGCATTGAAAATAAACACATTACATGCATAGATAAATACAACAGAGCAAAGATAAATAGTTCTTTGTTTGTCTGGCAATTCTAAAAGTACAAATGTATTAATCAAATTTAAAATAACACTGCATAGTCTTCACTGTAAATTAAATATAATTTTGTTAGTTACAAAAATGATTCTCTCTTTGTATTTTGTTGTTTGATTAACATTTAAAGGGACAGCAGCAGGAATATTAGGCTGCTGTCACTTTAAGACCAAATGTGTGTATCCGATATAATGATGCGCATAATTTCTTTCTCTCCATTGTTTACAGTCACGTAAGCCATAAGCAACAGTTTAGGAGGATATTAAAGAGGCGGCATTTTGACAATTTTACATGTTTGTCTGTTCAAGCTCAAATAGATGCAGAAGGGAACAGAATTTGGCGTTCTGTTTCTGCGCGCTCAGAAAATGGCATGCTAGTTTTGAATTGAGTTCTTTTTCACGTTGTCTTGTGCACTAATGGTTTAAAATCTTTTTAATATTTAAACTAACAAAAACTAAAAAGGTGAAATGCAGATGCATGCAGATTTTACATCTAATTCAAGTTCACCACATTGACAAACAGTTGTGCGAGCGGTGCTTCATACATCGCTACACATTTGATTGAAACAATTTGTAGGCAAAATTTCTGAGAGATTTCACAAATGTGTCCGCACTCTTGTTGTTAATACGGGGTTACAATTGCAAAATCTCGAAGAAATTTCACCAGCAGTCTATTGTCAACTATCAAAAAACCCGATAAATATGTTTGACATGCTGGAAGTGGAACTGTTCCTATCTGTTGAACACTTCAATATTTGCTTCTCAGGAAACATTACGACTTTTGTTTGAGTACGATTAATTGTGTGGATGAAGATTAAGGACCACAAGCCTCTCATCAACTCGTGTGGGAGTTTTGTGGGTGTCTCTGGGGTAAAAACAGCGCTCCGTGTTCGGTCTCCTCGCAGTAGGGTTGAATCAGTGTGAGAGATGCTGATGTGGCCTAATTGCTATGTTTGTGCTCTGGGACTGAGAGAAAGAGACGTCCTCCCGCAGGGACGTCCTCAACCACAACTGTGATGGTTAATTGAAATGTTCGCTCAGTGAACGGATGAACTCTAGTCTCACAGAAGAGCTGTATGGGAGAATTTAAATTTTCCTGACCATAGACCAGCTAGCCTTATTCTGAAATGGAGTCATTTTAATTATAAAAATTATATAGATTTTCAAACTTTTATTTTGATGTCGGAGTATTTACATTTAAATACTTATTTGCATGTATAGAAATCTAAAGACCCTATTTTAGAGATAAACACATGAAAAACTGTTTTATTTATTTATTTTCTTCACAAAAACAGATTGGGTTTTTATTTATTTGGGGTGTTTTTTGGAATGAAAAGCAGCCAAATACTTTTATTAAGCAAGGATGCATTAATTTCAAGCGTGCCGCACAAGCCCTGAAAAGTGAAGCCAAAACGTCTCGATCGCCTTTTCGGAGGACTGAGGAGATTGGAGCTTTAAATTTAAAGGGTTAGTTCACCCTAAAATTAAAATTATGTCATTAATTACTCACCCTCATGTCGTTCCAAGCCCGTCAGACCTCCGTTCATCTTCGGAACACAGTTTAAGATATTTTAGATTTAGTCCGAGAGTTTTCTGTCCCTCCATTGAAAATGTATGTCCGGTATACTGTCCTTGTCCAGAAAGGAAATAAAGACATCATCAAAGTAGTCCATGTGACATCAGTGGGTTAGTTAGAATTTTTTGAAGCATCGAAAATACATTTTGGTCCAAAAATAACAAAAACTATGACTTTATTCAGCATTGTATTGTCTTCCGGTTCTGTTGTCAATCCGCGTTCACTAGTCCGCAGTGACGCTGATGACGTAAGACGCTGCTGACGTGTTATCTGGTGCGTCTGTGTATTCGGGTTCAAATAAATATGGCTGGGGAAGAAAATGCAAGTCTTCCTCTGTGTCGAAATCCTTAGACATGTTTCCGAAGATTGTTTTGTTTACAACGTGCGTCTCCCTCAGACTGTAAACGAAGCTCGGGCGCACCAGATACACGTCAGCAGCCTCTTACGTCAGCGGCGTCACTGAACGCGGATCCACAACAGAACCGGAAGAGAATACAATGCTGAATAAAGTCGTAGTTTTTGTTATTTTTGGACCAAGATGTATTTTCGATGCTTCAAAACATTCTAACTAACCCACTGATGTCACATGGACTACTTTGATGATGTCTTTATTTCCTTTCTGGACAAGGACAGTATACCGTACATACATTTTCAATGGAGGGACAGAAAACTCTCGGACTAAATCTAAAATTTCTTAAACTGTGTTCCGAAGATGAACGGAGGTCTTACGGGCTTGGAACGACATGAGGGTGAGTCATTAATGACATAATTTTCATTTTTGGGTGAACTAACCCTTTAATATCTAAATTTCTATAATTAATTTTTTTAAAATAGCAGGAGCGTGTGCTTGTGATACATTCTGCGAGAGTGAGGGCGGGGCCTTGATTTTGCGGCTTTACTTCCTGCTCACTACTGCATGTCTGGTCCCGAAATCGCTACTGCGCAGACTCAAGTTCCAAGATGTCAGCGCCATATTGGGATACTGGCGGCTTCACTTCTGACCAATGGAAGAGAGCGAAGGGGCGTCGTCCATCTTTTTTTACAGTCTGATTAAATTGATCAAAATTGATAGTAAAGATATTTCTAATGTTTCAACAGATTTCCATTTTAAATAAATGTTGTTTGAGTTTTCTATTCATCAAAGAATCCTGAAAAAACGATCACGATTTCCATAAAAATATTAAGCAGCACATCTGTTTTCAACATTGTAGGATCATGTGACACCGAAGACTGGAGTAGATGCTGAAAATTCAGCTTTGCCAGGACAGGAATAAATTACATTATAAAGTATATCAAAATAATTTTTTTTTTTTAAATTGTAATGGTATTTCACAATATTACTATTTTTACTGTATTTTTGGTCAGATCTTGATGAGAATAACTACATAAACTTTTGAAAATCTTACCTACCCCAAACCTTTGAAGTTTGAACAGTATATAATTTTTTAATTTGTATTAATAATGTATTAAATACATCAGCATTATTAATTAACACAGTTGACAGGCCTAAAATCTACCTTTTTTCCTTACAAATTTTCTGTGGACCCTCTTGTGGCCTCTTGGGATTCCCTGAACCCCAGTTTGAAATTTTAGTTAACTGTTTTTAATCTTTATATCTGCTGTCTGTCGCCTGCAATCAAACCTGCGCTGACATGCTTATATGGACATATAGCTAATCTGTTTAGAAAAGTCTCTAATCCCATTACGGTGAGGTGACTTTTAATTAATCCATTAAGATTAACACCTACACTCTTCCTCACATCACTGGTGATTCTTGAAGCCAGTTTGTTTTATACCTCTTGTTAACATACAGGGGAGTGAAATATCCACGTAATGTGTATAAAATAGTTTGTTTCTTTGACTGTTTTGTTGGTTTGTGCCATTTCACATGTCATCAGTTTTCCCACTTCCCTTTTGCTTTTTTTGTGTTTTTAGATCACTTGTTTTCATCATGTGAATAGTAAGCATGCAACAAGACAATATAATTTCAGTAAAAGTCTTTTTTCCTTTCAAGGTTTAAGTTGATAAGGTCTTCTCCCCACCCAGTTATTACTTGTGGTCGAAATCAAAGGAAATAAGATTTTTGCCCGCTCGATCTGATACTGACAACAAGTACTTTTTCTGAGCTGGCAGAAGCCACAAATGCTTGATCGTTTAGAGTCACATCCTCATACTCTTTTATGGAGGAGGGAAAGGTCTGGAATGTTTGGGTGTGTGTCCATCTGGCTAACACACTCTCTTTCTCTCTCACAGGGGCTGGTGAATCTGGGAAGAGTACAATTGTCAAACAGATGAAGTAAGTTTCACCCCCATATGTGTCACCGTAATATGTCAGACTAGTTTCATAACATTTGGAAGTCACGTAGATAGCAGTGTTTATTTAAATTAAATGTGCATTACATAATCATTCGATTATGGACATGACTTATTAAGGGACTTCCCTGCATTTGTCAGACTATAATAACCTTTTAGCATTTTAAACATTACTCAAAGCCACTAGAATTAAAAAAATAGATTGGTGCAGTGATGACGTATTTTGTTACCAGTCTGGTTCCCTCAACAAAAACCCAATAGAATTTTTCTATTGGCTTTTGGATTATTGCAGAAAATAAACTGTCCAACAAAAGTCTGTTTATGATTCTTACACGTTTTGTTCATGATAATCTTCACATGAACACAACTTTTATGTATTTTGAAGCCTAAATACAATTCGGAAGTAAAAAGCTTTGCATAGTTAATAAACAAACTACACCACTATTGCATAACTTTGTCACCACCTTAAAGTTAGGGTTGGCAATTTTCAGAGCAGCTAGCAATAGCAAGCTAGCTTTGAAAGCATGAGATCCCACCCTCCCTTCAGAGCGTCTCCAAACCACGTCTCCTTCAAAACCCATGAATGCACACAGCAGAGTTTGCAAAGCATCACAAGACGAGAGACGGCGTTAAACTACCTCATGTTTCAAAGCACATAACATTACAATAATAATGAACATAACTTAAAGAGCGCTGACCTGTGTCACCTGACTGCTGCAGATTCATTTCGGTGTTGACATAGAAACGCATAAATTTGAGTCACGAACCTCTACAAGTATAACATCATGGGTTTCCATCTCTTCCAAATTACAGTAGTTATGGCATCAACGCAGCATAAGCTCATTGATTTGGTTCGGGAGGAACTGTAAAAGGTGGTTGTGGTGCTCGGGGACCGACGCAGAGGTATGGAAATACATATGTTGATAGGCAGGTAGGAGATCGTATCATTGCATTCGAATGCATGGTTGGACGAACATTTTATGGTCCTATGCCTTCCACAAACGATATATATATTATATATATACATATAAATACTTGTAGAGAGACTTGTAGCCAGCATAACAAAAGATGGTTCTGCTACAGATCCCCTACCCTGCCTTTAATCCATCAGCAACTTTTTCAGTCTTTATTTAAAAAGCATTTTCCCTGAAACTTTGACTTAAGCCCTATTCGCACGGGATTAGTATTATCTGGGGACCTCGTGTGATTTAAAAATTACCCCGCCACATCTGAAGTTCGTGTGGCGCATTCGCACGGGATAACCGAAGCCTGTGATTTTACTCGAATTTACTGACTTATCTCCCGGATATGACGTCAATAGGCTTGGAAATTTCTTTTCGTTATAGGTCTAGCTGTATGAAATATTATGACATAAACAGAATAAAGTTCCTTACCGCATGCTGCTATACATGTCATTCATCTTCATCTAATCATTCGTTTTGTTTTTGCTCTTCTGATGATTTTCAGCTTTCACTTTCTGCAAGTTGTGCAGTTGCGATATGACCCAGCACCCAAAATACTATCAAAACACTCCAAACCAGCCTCCATTCTTCGCGAAAGATGGATAAAAAGGCGCACATGAAACAAAAACCTTGAAAAAATGATATACGATCCGGCCAAATCACAGAGATGCCGATTCGCGCGGGACTAATATTATCACAGGACCTCTGTGTACGGCGAAATATAGTAGGTAATTTGCGGGGGAATTTTTACTTTACAAATTACAGACATGGCCGATTCGCACGGGATTAAGACCACAGACAAACTCCGCAATTATTACAAATTACTATATGTCACCAGATAATACTAATCCCGTGCGAATAGGGCTTTAGAATAGTTTGCAAGAGCGAGATTATAAACACAGTGAGGCTGTGAAAGTGGATTATTGACAAGTAAAAGCTTTAAAATAAAATGAGCTGTATTACGCATGTATTTTATGTTATAAGATTAGGGCTGGGCAATATGGCCAAAAAAATTAACACAATACATGTTTTCATATCAGTTGAAATCAGTTAATTTCTTTGTTTCCGCATGTGCTAATGGGTGATTGTTTCAAGTCATGAAACGGGTTTGTGTTGCCTGACTTTGATGCGTATCTTCAGCACAGTTTGCAGTGCAGGCTGCAATATTAATATTACATGTTTTATCTCTGAGAAATGCACATTTGACAGTAGTAGTAGTAGCTTGGGTTAGGATGCTGATATAAATTTGCTCATTAACAAAAACGGTAATATCTGTAAAAATGGAAACAATCGTTTTATTAAAATTAGCCATTGGTCTTCCATAGTATCATACATTAGATCATAACCACAGTTAAATCCACGCATATAATACCTCCCTACCATGATAAAATGTAACTTTTTGGTTTCTATGGTGTTTGTATGAAAACAGTAGCCTAAATGCATTGTCTAAATGCACAAATGCTATAGCTTAATCATAAAATACTGTAATTATATTCCATTACTCCTCCTACATTAATAATATAATAAAATTCTACATGAATATCATAATAAAATTCTACATGAATATCCCACATTTCTGTCACAATACCATGGTGCTGTTATTGTTACTACAGTAAATCCATGGTAAATGATGGCGATTTTTAGATTGAAAAGCCTTCTGACTGTATCGTTGCGCACAGTTTCTCCTTTAAACTACAGTAGTCAACATTTGAAGTAGATCAAAACCTTTCATCAAAGTTATGCATGAATTTTTAACAATACCCATTCTTGTCTTAGGACAAGTTTGATAAACTTTTTTGATTCACTTCAAATGTTGACTACTGTAGTTTAAATCTGAGAGACATTTGTGTTCTTCGTTGAATTTAAGCGCTTCTCTCAGTGTGACTGACACCGATCGATCAGCGAGTAAACGTAACTGCTATAGCCGTTTAAACTTTGAGCAGAGCTGATAAATGGTCCGTGTGGCGCGGTTCAAATTAGTAGCACTCGATCCACATTTGACGCATTAACATTATATCGAACGTTTATCGAACTCTCATCGCTTTATCGAGAAATGATATTGCGATAATTATCATTATCGTTTTATCGCCCAGCCCTATATACGATCAAATGTGAAAATATCTTGAGCTTCTTATCCATACACCTTTTTTCTGGCATTTAACCAAAAACCCCACTGATGGAACTGCAAGTGCTAAAATGCTAACTTGTTTCTGGGTTTTGGCCAACAAAAATGCATCATCCATGCAGCACTCAATAGGGCAAATATAATGACATATCTGCACTTTTAATGGGTGTTCAGCAGAACGCTTCCAACCTCTTCGTCCAGGACTGGATTCATAATATACATGCCGGGGACTATTAGCTTTATTACTTCAATTAATGGCATTGTCTTTCTCCCACAGAATCATCCATGAAGCAGGCTACTCAGAGGATGAGTGCAAACAGTACAGAGCTGTGGTCTACAGCAACACTATCCAGTCCATCATCGCCATCATAAGGGCCATGGGCCGCCTGAAGATTGACTTTGCGGATGCTGGGCGGGCTGTAAGTGCTGCTGTTATAAATTAAAGTGGGGTTAAATGCCTACCAAACATATTCCAGGCCTCTTATTTATGTAATGATAAAGTATCAAAAGGAGATCAAGAGAACGATGGATTTGATTGGCTCTCTTTCAGGATGACGCTAGGCAGCTGTTTGTTCTGGCCGGCTCTGCAGATGAGGGATACATGACAAGCGAGCTGGCTGGGATCATCCAGCGGCTGTGGAAGGATGGAGGCGTGCAGGCTTGTTTCAGTCGCTCCAGAGAGTACCAGCTCAATGACTCTGCCTCATAGTGAGTTTACCTCTCTCTTATTTTTTTGGCATATTTTCTGCCCTGCACAGCCAATTTCCCACATAATGAACTTTTCTCAACCCACATATTGCTGCTCCATTTCCATTGTGGCCACTGACCACATCATTGACTCGTGTACTGCGTGCGGACATTTCTATTACGTTGAGCCGAGTTATTATTGACATTATTCCATCCATTATGGCCCATGATTCAAATATGCTTTATGCAAACTTTGAGAACACAGGACAAATTTGCATTTTCGAAAAGCATGCAGTAAACCCTTACCTTTTGCATACAGCCCAGATGAAAAAGACATCTTTCCAATTGACAATTCTATGGAATAATAAAAAATGCGATGTGTCTGCCCATTGGCTAAAAAGATAAACCATTTTGAATGAATTTAACTCTACCATTCAAAAGTTTAGGGTCGGTCAAAAGAAGTCTCTTATGCTCACCAAGGCTGCATTTATTTGATATAAATGACAGTAAAAACAGTAATATTATGAAACTTTATAACAATTTAAAATAACTAATTTGTATCGTATTTTCTGCACTATACGGCGCACCGGATTATAAGGCGCACCTTCAATGAATGACCTATTTTAGAACATTTTTCATATATAGGGCGCACCGGATTATAAAGCGCATAAGATACTGGAGTCAAACGTTGGACTGGGTTTGCGTTATGCATCCACTAGATGTCAACAAAACAGTCAGATAAAGTCAAACTTTATTAAGCGCTCTGACAACTCTGTTCACTCCCATGGTAACGTTGTTCAAACGTTAAAAAGGAAAACTCCGGTCAATTTTAACATTGAGCTCATTTTTTTTAAATTTGGAGTGCTGTCAGTACAGATAACAACGACAAAAACCGGTGTTGCCTACACCGTGTTATCCTCTTTTTAAAATTTGCACCCTGTTGACTTAAACGGGACAAGTTTTAAACCTGCTTTTAGCCTCTATAACAACCTTAATGTGTCATTACAAGTGCACAGCCATGTGAGTGAACACGGTGAATCTGACTGCACATACCCGTATTTTCTTCCTGTTTTCGGTCGAAGTCCACAGTAGGCGATTGTCGAGTGCGCGCGCGATCATTGGTAACTAAGCAACAGTGGAGACTCGGACTGTCAGCCGATGACGGTGCTGTGTGGTGTTCTGAGAATATCAGCTCAAATGGATAGTTCATCCGAATCAGATGTTGAACACACGGAGGTTTGATCGCGCGCGCGAACTCGACAATCGACTACTGTGGACTTCGACCGAAAACAGGAAGTAAATACGGGTATGTGAGCTGGCTGAATAAAGAGATGATTCCTGCCTTCGTGAAAGCTCGGATCACAGTTGAGACTGATATATCAGCCCTCGCATCCACGATCCATTGGCAGATAGTGGCGTAAGTCGCCCGGCGCTGTCTCCCCATCTTGGTGAACGTGTGTTCACCATCCATATATAAGGCGCTCCGGATTATAAGGCGCACTGTCGTTTTTTGAGAAAATTAAAGGCTTTTAAGTGCGCCTTATAGTGCGGAAAATACGGTATTTGAATATATATTAAAATGGAATTTATTTTTGGAAATGGAATTTTCAGCATCATTACTCAGGGTTCTTACGGAGTTTGGAAAAGTATGTAATTTTAAGTAATTTCCAGGTCTGGATAAGTATGGAAAAGTTTGTGTTTCCAGACTATTGCCCCTATTCAGTTTTCTAAAATATAAAATTAGGAATATCTAAAAATACATTTGATACAAGCAGAGTTTTTATTTTTTTAATGGCCTAAGTCTAGTGATTGTCGAACACAATTGAATAAATTAAAGGCGTAAATTTTCATTACGCAAAGCTCTGTCTTTTACCATAAGCCAAGCTCTTTTGAACACTAATGGATTGTGCGTGTGCCACTCAAACCAGCAACAGATAAAGGAGCAAATGATCATCTAAATCAGACTGTACTTTGCGGTTTGGTGATCAGTCAACATCAAACCGACGTGTCAGAGGTAAAAAAAAATGGCATTTTAGGTTTCTGCTCATGTAAGCGCATCACTTCAAGAACACCAGTAAAAAAACAACAACCTAAGAATATTTACAGATGACTATATACCAAATGTAATACCATCTGTTATTGAACCTCTTATGTTAAATGTGTAAGAACCATTTGTTAAATAGTATTTTGTGAAATCGAATTTTGAAGTGGAAAATGTGTAGGAACCCTGATTACTCCAAGCTGATGAAAAATAATGACCATTTTCAAACCGGTTTAGCTAAAGCCTGTCATTGGGCAGACAGGACCGCCTCAAACTTGCACTATTGGTTGAGCCAGGTTTTTACTATAATTGGATGGTTAGGATACTCAAACCAAGCAAAAGCACTATAGTTACACTTTTCTGTGAAATCAGCTTATTTTTTTAAATTAAAGACTTTAAAGGGATACTTCACCTCTGGGAGGATGAATGTGTTTTTAAAATGGGTCATTTATGTAGAAGAAATGTGAAATTATTTTTGAATTTGGAGCTTTCTAGACTGAGAAAAGCCAGAAAATGGTTTATGTGGATGAAAGACAACAACTCCCAGAATGCACTTGCTTCGCTGCCCTAGGAGGCCACGCCTACTGGTAACTAGTGCAGCAGTTAAACAACAAGTCTAGGCCACTAGTGAGTCTCCGTGATGAGTCTGCCCGGGATTTCGAGATCACCCAAAATGTCCGGGATTCGGCTTTTGCGTTCTACAGTCATCATTCATCATGTTTACTGTGGACGAGCAGGACGAGACTGAGGGCCACGGGAGAACTGCGCGAGGCCGGTGGCGTGATTACCGATGAGCGACACCTGTGAGACGCACCGGTCTCGTATCTCTCACGGAGGAGCGTGAATATTCTTAGCAATGTTAAAACGCACATCAACCGATCACTTGTTTAGCGTTCATGTAAACACTACATTCAGATTCACCAATCGGAATGAATTCAGTTAGATTGAAACAAACGGTGTGCATGTAAACAATGAATGGCGACTGCAGAAAGCAAAAGCTGAATCCCGGACATTTTCGACGATCTCGACGGCCGGATATGTCCAGGAAAAAGTCGATGGTAACCCCTAAAACTCAGCTTTCTCCTATTACTCAGCTTTCTCCACAGAACAAGAGTCTGCTAGCTTAGCTTCCAAAAAAGATGGCTGACACTATGTATACGTTCTGGGACTTAGATCATCCTCTATGGGCGGGTTGAGAACATGCGGGACAGCCCCTACTACTGGCTGTAGTCTTTAGCCTCTGGCCAAAAAATCCTCCGATGACGCAAAAATCGTCATTTTGCGTCATCGGAGGATTTTTTCCAGACAAAAAATACATAAATCTCGTCTCAGGGGGATATGAGGGTGAAAAGCAAGGTAATTTGAAAATAATACAGGTTTTCTACTAATACAAAGCTTAATGCTAAATCCTGAAGTATCCCTTTAAGTAGATTTTGAATAACTGATTTTTGTATAATAATAATCAATCTGTATTTTCTCTCTATAGTTACCTGAATGACCTAGACAGAATATCCAGTCCTTCTTATGTCCCAACTCAGCAGGATGTCCTGAGGACCAGGGTGAAGACTACTGGTATTGTGGAGACCCACTTCACTTTCAAGGACCTTCACTTCAAGTGAGTATAGCCATTGTAACTGCACACGCCAAAACAATGATAAAATCCATGTTTTCTGAAACGTGCAGTACCTGAGTGTGAACGGCGTTTGACTTTGTCTGATGTCCTTCACTTTTTATAGTAGTCTTTGTTTGAGTTTGTCTGATTAAACTTTTAATTATGTACCACAGTTCCTTGAAAATATCATTGTGTGTTCAGTGTGACTATCTCAGAGTGCATCTCACCACCCACATCTCCTCTACTTTCAGAATGTTTGATGTGGGCGGCCAGAGGTCCGAGAGGAAGAAATGGATCCACTGCTTTGAGGGAGTGACCGCCATCATCTTTTGCGTGTCTCTCAGCGACTACGACCTCGTCCTGGCTGAAGATGAGGAAATGGTGAGCACTCAAGCAAGATCTCTTTTCAGTGTCAGCATCACGAAACAGAAACTTTGCCTTTTAAAGTTCCTCTCAAACAGTGCTTGGTTTCTTGTCTTGTAGAACCGAATGCATGAGAGTATGAAGCTGTTTGACAGCATCTGCAACAACAAGTGGTTCACGGACACCTCCATCATCCTGTTTCTCAACAAAAAGGATCTGTTTGACGATAAGATCAAAAAAAGCCCGCTTACTATTTGTTTCCCTGAGTATACTGGTATGAATAGCTTAATCTGTCATTCCTATTTATAAATCTATATATTTTTCTAGAATATTTAATGTGATTGAAAATTAATTATTCTATTTCTACAATATTAGAAAAAATATCAATTATGTAATTTTAATATGCTTTCTGTCTCAGGTTTTTCATTTTTTTTTTTCTCTAATGTTTTAAAATATATTATATAAATGATAAAATGTGATATGCTTTTCTGTCTCATTGGCATTTCTCCATTTTAACTGTGTGAAACTCTCTCCAAGGATCCAGCACGTATGAGGACGCGGCCGCTTACATTCAGTGCCAGTTTGAGGACCTGAATAAGAGGAAGGACACCAAAGAGATTTACTCCCACTTCACCTGCGCCACCGATACCAAGAACGTGCAGTTCGTCTTTGATGCCGTCACTGACGTCATCATCAAAAACAACCTTAAGGACTGTGGGCTCTTCTAAAACGAGCCATCTCACTGGTGAGCAGAAACAGGAATTTCAATGAGTTCATTATGATTTGGGTAAAACTGTATATTTATCCATCCAACGTTTACTTCCGCAGTGTGACGCGAGTGGCCTGACGTGAAACCTTTGGGGAGAACCAGAGTTAGGAGGAAGGTCAACCATGAACCTGAATGTTGAATGCGTTACTTAACTTTATATTTATGTTCTCCGAACATTTTAGATTTTTTTTTTTTAGGGCGTTTTAGGGGAAAAAAAGCATTTTGTGTAAAATATTTGTACAACTGTAATTGTTGCTGGAATTTTTCACCGTTTTAAGACGTTGACTTTACAGGTCTTTTTTAAAGGGTATTTTTCATTCAAAGGGTTTTGGGGAACATTTTTCTGTCTCTACTCTGAATATTAAGGTCATGTGCCTTGCAGTTATTGCTGCAGTGCTTCCCCCCTCTTCAACCAAGTTAAATATGAGCCAGTTGATATTTATCCACACAGCTATTATCTCTTCAATAGTAGTTTAGACCATTGAAAGCTAGATATTTTTAAGACCAAACTCCTGTGGGTGATCTCAGAGCTGTGAATTTTAAATGGTGAGTCAGAATAGCTTATCCGAGAACAGCCGTCATTACCAGCACAGTGTGTGCATATTATGTCAGATTTGCCTGTGATTGGAATGATGGAAAAGCTGTGGTGAGCCCTGAAATTTGCTGATGAATTGGTTCCTCTGCACCTGCAAATCATGAACAGTTTTAATGGAGAACTCCGCAAAAGGTCAACATTTTGCATTAATAGGCATTTTTACTGATCAAAGGGAACCACTTTTGAATACATTAAAAGGGACCAAAGAATTTCTCCTTACAATTCCTGTAACGCTTTTCATTTTTGCACTAGGTCCACATATACCCATGTTACGTAACAAATTATTTGACAACCTGTAGAATGTAATGTTTCATAGAAGCCTTCAGTAGGAGCACAAACGCCTTTTCTGATAGTAACACGATCAATTAAATGGTTTTTAAACTACACATCCCTTAAATGTAAGTTCTTATTGGATGGGAACAAATGTTGACTAATATCCACTATTTTGCTAATAAAAATGCTGTTGAAATGGCGGCATCCTGAAATAAGACTTCTGGTTTGAAGAGTCTTTCTTTTTACTTTTAAAATGAGAATAGTCCGTTAATTCTCTCCTTTACATTAACCCAAAAACACATTTGCAAGAGTGCCTTTGCTTTAAATAGAGGTTTTTCAAGTGTTTGAGAGATCCATAAATGAATATTTCCCCCTTAGGAAAACACTAGTTCTAGCATGACATAAGGTTGTTGAAACACTGAAGCACACTGCACTCTTGTGGCGAAGACAAGATAAAGCAGAAGTGTTTCCCAGTGGCCTTTAGTTGTCATGGTATAACAGGCTGGAAAATTATTTGAATAGGAAAAAGTTTACAGATTAAAACATTTATTCTCTGTCCTTCATAGCATTTGTTTTAATGCTGGAAGTCTGTAAAGCCACCTTTCCACTATATATAAAAGTCCCTAATGTTTTTTTGTTTGTTTTTTTGCAGCAATGCCATTAAAGATCCATTTTGGATTGGTCCTTTATTTTGTCTATTGGGAATTGATTGGACGGTTTGCTATTGGTCGATCTCTTGTGAGTGACAGGTTGATCGTGCCAGTAAACGTGTCCTCAGAGAAGAGACTGCAAGAGTGAGAAGTTATTTTTATTAAAGATGACGAGAGCTGATGAATTTAAAATAACAATGTGCACGGATAAATCTTTTATAATAAGGATGCTGTAATATTCCATAAAAAAGAAGAATTGTTCATTTTGATTTCATGGTGATTTTATTCACTAGATCATCCAAATGTCCATGTGACCCAGGCTCTATTTTAGCTTCAAATTGGGATTAAAATGTAAGTGATTTGACTAATCTCTCAGGCCTCCTGCGGGAAGATCAAACAGATGACTAATAATGTGGAAGGTAAGAAAGAGATGGAGAATCTGATCAAAAGAATCCATACTTTATCACACCGGAGCTTCAATATCCCGATCAGACACAGCATCTCTGTCTGTTTGATCAACCACATAACATTAACCTTATAGATTAGCCTGACTATTTTAGCAACTTTAATCCACTCCGTGTACTTTGTGCATGCCAAATGGGTGCAATTATTTCTGAATATTGCATATGCCAAGGCACGATAGCTTTTAGGGTGAATTTATGGGCATTTATTGCTGAATAAGGTCCCTTGTGTGGTAGTAATACTAATGGATTTGAACTAATGGACATTAGATGTAGATTGAACATGTACATGTTTTAAAGGTTTTATTATAGCTCTTATATCCTGATTGTAAAATATGTGCCCGTAAAACTGTTGTCAATAAGTCTAGCAAAAAATATAGACCTTTTATGGTTGAAGAAATTGAAAAAGCCTTGTAATCCTAATCTAGACAATATTTACTGAACACATTATCCACTTTAATCTGTATATAATCTGCATGATCTAATTATCATAAATGTTGCTGAATCTCGTATATTTTTTAAACAACCATTATTATTAATCATACTAACAAAAATTATAATGAATTTAGATTCCTGGATGAGTTTAGAATTATTTCATTACTCATGGATACATATGACGGTATCCATTGACTTCCATAGTATTTTTTTTCCTAGTATGGAAGTCAATGGGGCTCATCAACCGTTTGATTACCAAAATTCTTTATAATATATTTTGTGTTCAGCAGAAGAAAGAAACAACATGAGGGTGAGTAAATGATGTCAAAATGTTCATTTTTGGGTGAACTATTCCTTTTGAATGAAACGTACTCGCAATTTCTTCTCGAAGCTATACGAGTTTTAAACCATAATGTAAACAAAAGGTTTTTCGTTGTCGTCTTGATTCTTGTCAAAGAATGCAATATGAAATGGTGTGAAAAGCCTATCATCGGCTCGGCTGTATCTAGCGAGCTTCCTACCTAAAGCATTTTTGGCCAAAATTGCTGTCTAGGTAGACACGTATTTTATATGAGTTTGAAATTAGTTTAAACTGCACTAAAACTGTTCTAAAGTGAGCTTTAGATAGTACTAATGTTATGAGTCGACTCGATCCTTCAAAGAACCGATTTTTTTTCCAGCGACGTTGGGATGGGAATTGAGAGTCGATTCCTCAAAGATAGTTCCGGCCCGGGCGTGACTGTGTTTAATACCTTATTAACCAACTACACATTATAAATAGAAGATTACAAGTGGGTATTTTATTCTTCCAAATAACTTTAATATTTTGAATCCATTCACCAAAAATATTCGTTTACTGATTCCTTGACTCTTTCTGCAGGTTACACAGTACTGTGACAGTAGGCCTACACAGTGGCGGCTCCAGACAATTTTGATTGGGGGGGCAATGGGGGGTCCTGGTCATTTCAAGGGGGGTCTCATGAAAACCAACAAAAAATACAGTGGACACGGCTAATAACTGCATATTGCTGCTACTTAACGAAATGGTAAATGGTAAATGGACTGCATTTATATAGCGCTTTCACAGACCCAATGGCCACCAAAGTGCTTTACATATTGCCTCACATTCACCCATTCACACACCGACGTTTTTTTGTTTTTAATTAATTAATCAATTGCAGTTTGCAAACAATATGCTCGAACTTTAATTGCCATAGCCACACCCATGACAGAAAACATATTTACAAAATAGTATCCTCCTCATCCTCCAATTCCTCAGTGTCCTCTGTTTCCAGTCTTTACTAAGAAATCCTATGAAAAATTATTTACAAAATCTTCTGCAGGACAGTTCAATTCTTTACAATAATATAATATATTATAAAAGAAAATTAAGCTGTTACACTGAGATGGTTTAGGAAAACCATAAAGTGTTTTTGTAAAGTCAATTAATTGTACAGGCAGCATTAAACCATCAAAGTTAAATGATTGTTTATAGCTTATGAATTTCCTAGCCTATATTTTCTTTAGCAGGGGGTTTCAAACTTTTTAATGGCAATGAGCCCTAAACAATACCCTTGTGAGATTCTTTATTTAGGCTTATAATATAATACAATATTTGCCCAATATAATATAATATAAAAAAAATGAATTGAAGTATTTGAAGTGATAGTTTAAATGCTTCAATTTGTTTTCATATAATATTATTATAATATGAAAACAAACTGAAGCATTTACTGTAAATAGCTAGATCTAATAGCTAAATATTTTCAAGAAAAGTCAATATGTGAACTCTTTTATAGTAGCCTAATCTAACCATGCCTGAAACTATTTAAATCTATGTAAACTAATAATGTATTTTGAGTTTGCACGCGGGTGGGTGTCTGTAATTGTTACCATTCTGTGTCCATCATCCGTTATTTCTACCACTTTAATCAAACCACTCTTCTTTAAAACATGATATTGTGATTTTATTTCACATGTCTTTGCGTTTCTCGTCGCCTCTCGTATTGAGCTATTTGGTCCGCACACACGACTCACTGCCAATCACACGCGCTCACATCATTCTCTTTCTTTGAAACCTGTTAACTGCACTCACCAGTTTGAGCACTGCAATTATTTCTCACATACAATCAAATGGATTTCCCCACACATTTCGCGTCAGTCCTCTGCGTGGCATATTATTCTTTTCTGCGCGGCCGCGGCATCAGAAGTGCACGACCGCGCACGCGCGCAGCTTAGAGGGAACGTGATTCTTATTTTATATATTTTGTACGTCGAATAAATTATTAATTATTATTGTTCTGCGTAGTTTGAAGATAAACATTTTTAAATATTTATCCCGGATATATATTTTTTTAATCAGGAAGGGGGTGGGGGGTCAAATGGGGGGTCAAAGCATTTTTTGGGAGGGTCTTGAGACCCCCCAAGACCCCCCCTGGCGCCGCCTCTGGGCCTACACCAGTAAAACCCTTTCACACAGCGCTTTGAACCCGGCAAATTGCCGGAGTGCCTTCTGTGTGAACGCAAACACGACCCGGGATCGATGCCGGGTTGGGGACCTAGTAACATTGCCGTGTTCAGACCCGGAACGCGCGCTGTGTGAACAAAAGCCGTAACCAATGCCGTGTCGTAATGATGACGCTGAAGTGAAGTGAAAGCAGGCTAGTGAAACGGTACGTAATGCGCTAGTTTATGATCGAATCAGAGAAAAAAATGCACAAGCGTGGTTTCTCCAGAGAGAAATCGCAGCTCATAAGCAAACTATACACGTTGCTGAGACATTACATGTCACATCAATGTCACGTGTCTTTCCGGAACATACACGGGTTGTGTGTGAACGCGCTCTCTGATTCCGGCAAATCACTGACAGTGTGAATGAAGCAAAATCAAACGAACCCGGGTCAAATCCCGGGTCGCTTTATCCGTGTATTTTCCGGAATCTCTGTGTGAAAGGGGCTTAAGTGGCGACCAGTGAATGTCTTTAGGAGTATTACAAGCGAGTGAGTCTCTCAACTGGTTTCGTTAAAGTTACCATGAAATCAAAATGGACCGTTCTTATTTTTTAATGGGATATTGCAGTATGTATCATAAATGATTTATCTGTGCACAATGCACATCACACTACAGATATGTCACATTAGGGAACTTGTAAAAAATAAGTCTAATGACAAATGTATTATTATATTGAGTGCATGCATGCATGCTACCCTTGGACACTGTCTGGCCACGCCCTAGCAACCATTAAGAGCACCCTAGCAAACGTATAGCATGAATAAGCCATATCTCAGCACCAGAACATCACAAAGACACATGGTTTGACTCTTGATTCGGGTAGACATCCAGTCTTTTAGTTTCAACCTGGTAACTGTGTAGCCACACCCTAGCAACCATTTAGAGCACCCTAGCAACAGTATGATATGAATAAGCCATATCTCAGCACCAGAACATTACAGAGATACAGGGTTTGACTCTTGATTCGGGCAGACATTCAGTCTATTAGTTTCAACCTGATAACTGTGTAGTCACACCCTAGCAACCATTAAGAGCACCCTAGCAACTGTATGACAGCATTAATAAGCCATATCTCAGCACCAGAACATCACAGAAACACAGGGGTTGACTCTTGAATTGGGCAGACATCCAGTCTATTAGTTTCGACCTGGTAACTGTGT